GAAGTTGCTGGAAGACACCCTTTGGGAATTTCAGGAGGCCTTCGAGACATGATGAGGACTTTGGGTGTGCCTCCACTATCAAACACAAAATCCCCACTGACAATGCTGCACAGCTCAGGGAACGGTACCGGCAAATCCCGCCTAAAATGTACCAGGAGGTGAAGGATTGGTGGCCAGCATGTTGGAAAACCAGGTGATCCAGGAGAGTCAAAATCCTTGCGCTGCTCCCCCTTCCACAGATTGATGAGTCTTTGTCCGCTCTGAGTCATGCGAAGTTCTTCTCGACTCTTGACCTGGCCAGTGGGTATTGGCAGGTAATGGTGACGAAGAAGGAAAAAGCGAAGACGGCCTTCATCCTACCTATGGGTCTCTACGAGTTCAACGGGATGCCATTCGGCCTGTCCAATGCCCCAAGAACATTCCAGCGGTTGATGGAGCACTGTCTGGGAGATCTCAACTTCGAGTCGGTATTGATATACCTGGACGACGTAGTAGTGTTTGGGGCCTCTTTTGAGGATCACCTCCAGAAACTGCGACAGGTCTTAGGACGGCTGCGAGACCATGGGCTCAAAATCAAGCCCAAGAAGTGCCAACAGTTTCAACAGCAGATAGAGTATTTGGGGCATTTGGTCACCCAGGAGGGGGTAAAGCCAACCCCCGACAAGGTGGAGGCCGTCCAGAAGTGGCCCCAGGCCGAGTACACTACGAGAGGTGCGGGTGTTCATTGGACTGGCCAGCTACTACACAGGAGGTTTATACCCAAGTTTGCTCATTTGATGGGCCCGTTAAATGAGTTATTGAGGGGCACTGCAGGGGGCCCGAAGAATCGCCCCATCGAGTGGGCAGCCCGTCAACAAGGGACCTTTGAAGCAGTGAAGGGGGGCGCTGATCAGTGCCCGATTCTGGCTTATGCGCGGTTCGACACCCCATTCCTGCTGTACACTGACGGAAGTCTACATGGTCTGGGGGCTGTGTTATCCCAAGTCCAGGATGGACATGAGAGAGTCATTGCCTATGGCTCCCGGGCAGCCGGGAATCAGAGCACAACCCTGACAACTATAGCTCCTTTAAATTGGAACTATTGGCACTGGTGTGGGCCATGACTGAAAAGTTTGCAAAGTACCTGACTGGTGCAGCGGTGACCGTGATGACGGACAACAACCCGTTAGCACATCTGGAAACTCGGTGCGCTTGAGCAGAGGTGGTTGGCTCGCCTTTCTAAGTACCAATACCGCATCAAGTTTCTGGTCAGGTAGGGAGAACGGCAACGCTGACGCACTCTCCGAGTTCTTGTAGGGTTGTCAGCTCAGAGTGCCGATGAGGAGCTAGAGGACACTGAAACTCCTGACCTGGGTCCATTACCTATGTTCCCAGACTAGGCACATTCAAGTGGGGTGGCATCTGGGATGCCAATGGTGCTGGGAAAGACGTTGGCTGATTGGGAGAGGGTCCAGGATAGCTGCCCGGACCTCTGGAAAGTGAAAGAATGGGTCCGGACCAAGATCTGGCCTCGGTCAGAAGAGCGGGCTCATCTGACTCCGAGGGCCAAAAAGTTGTTGAGGCAGTGGGATAAGCTAACTGTTCCCAGGGCCTCCTGTGTTGGACCATATACTTGCAGACACAGTTGCAGTACCGGTGACAGATTGTCATCCCCATGTCATTAGGACCGGTGGCTTCCCGGGAAGCCCATGGGAGGGGTGCCCATTTTGGGAGCGATAAAACGTTCAAGTGGCTCCAACAGCTTGTGTACTATCCAGATTTGGCAGATATGGTGGCTGATGCATGTCTTAAGTGTCGACCCTGCGGGCTGAGTAAGAGTACTGAGCAGCGGGCTCCTGTCCAGGCCATCCGGACATCAGCACCCCTAGAGCTCCTTATGATCGACTATGTACAGACTGGGTATTCTACCTCGGGACACTCATACTGTCTAGTCATGACAGATCATTTCACAAAGTATGCGGTGGCTGTACCCACCAGAGACCAGACGGCAGAGTCGGCCACTGAAGCGGTCTGCAAACACTTTATACAGGTGTTCGGGTGTCCACAGAGAATGCATTCGGACCAGGGGGCATGTGTTCAGGGTACTCTAATGAATGAGTTGTACCAACTGTATGGGATTGAACGTTCCTGCACCACCCCGTATCACCTCCAGGGAAACTGGGTGTGCGAGCGGTTCAACAGCACCTTGTTCCAGATGCTGCGGACTCTGGAGGACCGCCAAAAAGCTCGGTGGCCAGAATACCTACCTGAACTGATGTGGGCCTATAATAACAGGGTACACAGTACCACCGGATACTCCCCCACATATGCTTATGTTTGGGAGAGCCAGACGGGAGATTGAAGATCTCCACATGCCTGATCCGATGGAGCCACCACCAAGAAATACTACCGCATGGGTGCAAGAGCAACGCCGCTGGCTGAGAGCAATCCACAAGGTTGTGGGGTAGCGCCTTAGACAAGTGGTATACCCCAATGCAAGACCAGTGCAGAAGGAGGGGTATGCCCTGGGTGATCGAGTGATAGTCAAAGCCAAGCGGCCGTCTGGAAAGTTGGATGGGCGGTGGGAGGCGGTCCCATACACAGTGAAGAGGAGGGTAGACCTTGCCATCCCAGTCTATGAGGTAGAGCCAATAGAGACTGGGGGGGGGGCCCTCACGAAACTTGCACCGTAACATGTTGAGGCGTTGTAATTTTGATGAACCAGTGTGCAAGGAGGGGATGGCTCCTTCTGCTCAGAGTACTGAGGGAAATCCCCTTAGAGGAGGGGGAGGAATGATGGGTTGTCCCTGCTGTCACTCTACGAAGGTCAACAAGGCCCAGTGCTGGTGTGCCCCCACAGTGTTATGCCCAGAATGAGTTTGTATGGGGAGGGTTGCCGAAGACGACAACCTCTAGTGGGGTGGCATGTGAGATGGGGAAACAGCTCTCATTGTGAATTAAATGTTTTGAAATGTTTTACTGACATTCTGCGATTTAGCCACAAGATGTCACTGTTTTTCTAACACAGCCTCAGACTGCATAGATATTTCTATATTCAGGAAGGGCTGGGGTTTTACACATGGGAGCTCAGTGAACAGGAAGAGAGACTGCAGCCATGTTTTGATGATGGTGAAGGAAACGAGCCATGTGAGCAGAGAATCCATTGGCATCCAGGTGTGAGAACTGCAGCTAGTGAAGCTGATGGTGTTCAAGATGCTGATCCTGTTCAGAGAAAGGAGGATCGCTGCCAGGGAAGCTGATGAGATTGCATGCTTGTTGGAGAGACATTTGTTCTGTTCTGAGTCACCAGCAGATGCAAAGCAGACGCGGGTCGGTAAGATCGTGCACACACCTCATTTCAGTGTTGGCGCCTCCAGAGACCTATAGTTAGTTAGTTAGGGTCTCTGTTTGCGTCAGGCCACAAGTGTTGTTACTGATCATTGGAAGGACTCCACAACTTAAAGTGACATTTCACATTGGAGAGCTGATAAAATCCCCCAAACTCAAGCCAGACTGGCGTTTTGCTCAGAAGGAATACTCAGGCATGTGCTACAGGACCAGTTGTGGGAGGGGGAATACTGTAGATTTGTGTAAGATTGTAAGCTGTTGTGCTGCACTGCAGGCTAGCCCATACCATACACCCATTGTAACGGACCGCTTGACAGCACCTCTATCAGTCCCCTGGTAGAGCCTCCCCAGAGTGCGGAGTCTAAGCACCGGAGCACTTGTTCACCAGGGCCCCTGATGGTGGGGATGGACTTGGAGCGCTCCGGTACAAGGTCGCAACTACCAGGTATCTCCAACAGGGGTAGAGGAGTCTGACAGGGGCTCCAGAGAGCTAGGAGTCTGATGTAAGGGAGCCTAGTGATCCCTGCGGGGTGGGTGGATGGATGAGCTAAATCAGAGTCATGCAGGCAGGGTCGGCAACTGGCGGATCGGTAAGGTACAAAACGGTAGGCAAAAGATAGTCGGGTCACACGCAGGGTCAATACCAGGAGGTCAGATCTAAACAGGAACATCCAGGAGCAAAGTCAGGCAAGCCAAGGGGTCAGGACGGGAGAAGGCAACAAGGTCAAAACAATCCAGATCAGAAGTACTCACACACAGATAACAGGATACAAAGACCATTTGGCAACAAGTGTCTGTGCAGGGCTAGTTTAAATAGCCCGCCCTGCACCTGACAGGCGTAGCCTGGGTCCCAGTGCCTGCCTAGTACTGTCCAGACGATGGGTGCGCCTGGGTCCTAGTGCCCTGCCACCTATACGTCTCGGCAGACACCTACGCATGTGTAGACCCATGCGTCGCGATGGTTCCTGACACCCATACACTGATTCCTGCTCTTTTAGGGTAATAACAGGTAAGGTGTGGCAGCTTAGTTGTGCCTGCCAGTAGGTAAATTACTTCACTTTCTACCGTCATTAATCAGAAGGCGCCGTGCTGTGCAGCACAAGGGTCTCAGCCTTTGGGCTGGGTGTATGTAAATTTATTGTATGTTCCCAGCATTTGTGGTTTGTGTTTATTTGCCACAACTAAGTAAAATTCTGTTGTGGCAAAACCTGGTGTTGGGTTGGCTTCCTCGTTCGTGACTTCACTGTATCCTGGGGAGTCCACCCCGGTACATGGCTTTCAGTCGTGTAGCTGACGGAAGGAGCCCGAGCTGTTGCTGGGACCTTTCGTGGCCAGGCTCTGCAGAGACCCAAGCCTGCCTAGGACCCCCCCAGAGCTGGGGAAGACTGTCTGCTAGACACCGGAGATCCGTGAGTACATGCTCTCTCCTTGCTTCACTTGAACTGTTCCTGTGCTGACCCCACACCAAACCCCCTGTTGGATTACTTGCTACAGAGACTCACACCAAACCCCCTGTTGGATTACAATTGCTACAGAGACTCTTCCTTGGCTCTCGGTGTTGGACTTTAAGTGTGTTGTTGTCGCCCTGTACTGGCGTATTCCCCCTCCCTGCAACCTTCCCTATTCAGTGACTGTCATCTGTTTGCCTCAATAAAGCTTTGTGAGTTTGCCATCTACTCTGTGTGTTCTGTCCTGTCTACCCTCTGTCACATACTGGTTGGCAGCGGTGGGATCAGGACTCTGAGAAGATGGCAGACAGCAAAAGCCAGCGTATGGGGGAACAGGCCCAGGCCCAGCAAATACAGGAAGTGGACTGTGGCATGTCTTTAAGAGAGGGCCAAGCAGCTGTCCCTTACCTGGAGGGGCCTAGCCAAAGAGGATCTGGTCGCAGCCACTGAGGAAGCTGATTTCCAGGACGCCCCAGCAAGAGAGGAGAGCAGGCCAACCCCAGCCTCCCCAGCACGCAATGACCCAGGGCCCAAGAGCCCCTGGCTTACTCGGGTGGAGGAAGAGATGGCCCTCCTGGGGTCAGACGCCATGGCAGAGGACAAGCGAGAGGCTATCCGGAGGGCGCATGAGAGAGCCAAGGAAGTCACCGCTGTAGCAAACTTGCTCATCAGAGTTGGACGCGGAGTTCCCCTTTTTTATTAAAAGTATTCCTCAATCCTTTATTCTCCTTCCCCCTCCCTTCCTGAGAGGTACAGTGACAGATGTGGTGTGTGCTGGTTATGGGTCAACAGCAGGTTAAGGCATCCTTAGTTCGGTGCCGAGCAGTCTGCGAAAGTGTAGCCTTCCTCACCTAAGTCATGATAACAGATAAGGCAGCTTCTCCCAGGAATTGAAAGAGATTGTAACCTTATAAAACAGCTTAAGGTGACAGAATTAAATGAACATACCTCAAGTCAGTTTGTCCCCTGTGTTTCATATCATGGATTATGAAGTTATTGGTTTTAATTCAGAGTCCGCCCGAGATCCCTCCCTAAACAGAGTATTGGCCAGTTACTCAAAGGCACCCCCCTGCTGGGGGACTTTAAAAAGCACAGGCTGTAGGCCTGAGGCTAAGCTAAAGACATCTCCTAATTTTAACATCGTAACAACAGGAGATCAAAGACCCTTCGCTCTGCAACTTGGATCTGCTACCTCAAGGCTTAACATGGCAAGTAACTTAACCTTTTAACTTCTCCCTGTTATCTCTTGGCGGTGATATGCTGTTTTTTTTATATATAAATATATATATCTTAGTTACATTTTTTTTGTAAATATTTTATTGCACCTGTTTGACTCTTTTAGTAATAAATCTTTCTTTCTGAAAGTGTTAAACTGTTTCTAAAGCGCTTAATTGCAATTTACGAATCCCTGCCTTCTGAAGAGATGCTACTGTGCTTGTTTAATCCTCTGCCCAATCGGCCTGCGGTGGCCGTATTGGACAGGCGACTTTTCAACCATTACAGTGTATATTTGATAAAGAGAGTTTCCCCTTTCTCTGTACAAAAAGTGGTGGTGGCAGTAGAGGGTTAGTTGCGTAACTAACCCGACCCAGTAAGAAGCGCATTCAGGCTGCAGGCACAGATTGTAGACCATTAGCTGGACAATCGTTGTGCAGGGCGCAGCTAAGTGTGGCATTGTTACGCACGGCACATCGCGGTTTTAGATCGGCCGGTCCTTTGGTCACGAGTTTGGTGAGAAGGTCTGGGATCTGACGCTGCGGGCGTGATGTATTATTGGACATCGCGGTCGTGGGATTGTTGCATGTTAAGGGGGGGGCGACCGGGCGACCGTGACAACCACGAACTAAGCTGCCCTTCCAGCCCCAGGGCCACAGGTTACTCTCCTCCCTGGGTTAGCCGCAAGGACTTTAAACCCTTCAATAAAGCCGCCGGGGATGTGGAGGGGTTCTTTCAGGACTTTGAGCAGCAGTGCCAGCTCAGCTCATGGAGGTGTCAAGCACGGATTGGATACAGCACCTCGTGGGTCTGCTAGAAGGGGATGCAGATGCGGACCGTGCTTGCGGACCGAGCCGTCGCCTTCTCAGCCACCCCGGGCCGCACCGGGTTAGCTCTCCACCACGTGGAGACCCACAGTCAGAAACCCATCCAGCATGCCCCATACCGGGTCCCTGAATCCGCGAAGTCGGCCATCCAGGCCAAACTCTCCGAGATGCTCCAGCTGGGTATCATCCGACCCTCCCACAGTCCTTGGGCCTCCCCAGTGGTGCTGGTTCCAAAGAAGGATGGAAGCACCCGCTTTTGCGTGGACTACCGGAGGTTGAATGACTACACTGTCAGTGACGCCTACCCCATGCCCCGCATAGACGATCTGCTGGATCGTTAGCACCCAAGACCTCAGCAAGGGTTACTGTCAAATCGCCCTGACAAAAGAGGGCGTTGAGTGCTCCGCCTTTATTATCCCGTTCAGCCTGTACGAATTCCTTGTCATGCCCTTCGGCATGAAAAACGCCCCCGCCACCTTTCAACGGGTTGTGCACCAGCTACTAGAGGGATGTCAAGAGTTCACGCGCGCCTACCTAGATGACATAGCCATCTTTAGCGACACGTGGGAGGAGCACCTGGCGCACGTGGGGGCCATTCTAGACTGCATCTGCAGGACCGGGCTGACAGTGAGACCAGACAAGTGTAGGGGGGGGACACTGAAACCTGAACCAGCCAAGGTTCAGGCCATTTATGACTGACCCACACCCCAAACCAAGAAGCAAGTGATGGCCTTCCCCGGATGGTGACCTAGACCTCGGCCTGTGAATCCGCCTTCCGTGATCTCAAAGCTGCCCTGGCGAGCAACTCCGTCCTGGCCGCCCCTGACCACAACAGACGCTTCCTTGTGCAGACAGACGCCTCCACCTACAGCCTAGGGGCTGTCCTTAGCCAAGTCAACGGGGCTAGGGAGGAACATCCCGTCGCTTCCTCAGCCTCAAACTACTGGACCGGGAATGTCTGGCCATAGTCTGGTCCCTAAAGAAACTCCAGCCGTACCTGTACGGCTGGGAGTTCACAATAGTCACCGATCACAACCCCCTCACATGGCTGAACCGGGTGTCCGGGGACAATGGGCTCCTCCTTAGGTGGAGCCTCACCCTCCAGCCTTATAATTTCACCATTCGATATAGACAGGGAAGCCAACACCAAAATGCAGATCCACAGTAGCTAAGTCAGGGCCCACAAGTGCCTTCAAGGGAACCCGGTTGGGTCCCCCTTGCTGGCACTTGTGAAATGGAAGGGGGAGGAGTGTCGCAGCTGCTCTCCCCTCTCAGCCCCCTTGCTCTGTCCCTGCTCTCCCAGCTTTTTGAATGGGTCCCTCTCCCCTCCTGCAGAGATGAAAGGCATTCCTAAGACAAGCTGGAGCCACGCCAGCTCCCGCCCCCCCCGGGTTGCCTAGGCGACTAGGGGGTCCGACATCAGTTTAAGAAGCTGAAACATGGCGGAGTGGTTACAAGGCATTTTTGGAGTGCTAATACCATTTAACTTCATTACAGGCATTTGTGACGCAGTTTTAACGCTTGGTAAATGCTTATCACATGCCTCAAAACCGCACATAGGGCGTTTTGGGAGCATTAAAAACGCTTCTCAAACACTATAGGGCCATTTGGCAAGAGTTAGAAATAACGTCAAGTGTGAACGAGCGCTTAAACCTCTCTCCTTATACAACTTGACCCCCTCCCCCACCATCACCTGTTCCATCTGCCAATCTATGTATCCCGCCCCACTCTTTTTATTTAACTATTTATTTACTGATCAAGTTAATGTGTCTCATTTCCTATCACCCACAGCTCAGATCTCTCATTATTATAGGATTCCTGATTGTATCTCACCACTAATCTGATTGAATTCACAATTCCTGGTCAGTCCCTGACCTATAATAACCTTTAGGGCCAGTTCACACTACATGTGTTTCAGTTGCTTTTTTTGCATCCAAAATGCACAGAAAGAAGGTTATATGGTTGTCAATGTCATAGTTCACATCAGCGCTTGCAGTTCCAGTGCGTTGCAGGTGCTGTCAAAAAAAGGTGAACAGGCTGCATTGTTTATGCATAGAACTGTACTGGAACGCGGTAAAACGCCCTGGAACGCACTAAAATGCACATGTCCCTAATTAAATTTAAGAAAAAGAGAGAGGGGAAAAAAAATTAACTGGAATGCATAAAAAAATGCAGTGGAACATGTCAAAAACGCATCCAAAATGCACTGGAACACGCTAAACATGCATCAAAAAAAAGTGCATGCAAAAACATCTGGAACTCATCTAGACTGTGTTTCTATAGTGTGAACTGACCCTTAGGACTTGTTCACACCATTTGTGGTGCAGAAACGCATGCAAGAGCATGTTTTTTCCAGCACAGCAAAGAAATGCAATGCCCTCTGCAGATGTGCGCAGGTACCATGGTGGAAAACCTAATTGCACCTCCACATGTCTAGTAAACACAGAGGCATTCACAGCCACCAAAACGCATGGCACCACACTACTGTGCAGTTAGGTGCAACACACTTTTAAAATAATATGCCTGCAGTATTTTTGCATGTTCCCACATGTTAGCAGCCCATTGAAATTAATGAGCTGAGGGAAAAAAAGTAAAAAATTCCCAATTCACACAAGTCCTCTGGCCTGTACAGCACGACGAATGAGTGGGTTGTTCATGTGGCTGGAGACACCTGTTACACTATGGGGACACAGCAGCTGTATGAACACACAGGTTTTAATCTGACAGGTGTGAAGGCGTGGGGAAGTGGCCCTGAATGCTCACTGTCTGTGTTTAGGGCTGTACACCTGCACCCATATGCTTGTCAAATTATTACCTGCAGCATTTCCATAGTGTAACATAGGTTGCCTGCATACGGCGATAGCCACAAAAACAAACCACTGTTTCCCACTCTACAGGCCAAAGCACCCATGAGCCCCAAGACCTCAATTACACACACAGCTTTATTTATGAACTCAGTACAGTTTTTTATCATTTAGATTTCACAGGATATGGTTGGGATTATGCCCATTAATAATGTTTTTAGTGTATTTTTACCATAAATATAATTTGGATATTTTCTCTGGCGGTGGGGGGCTGTCAGGTATGTTGTACAGGGCCCTGTGATATCTAACAGTGGCCCTGGGTGTATGCTTGTGTCTGTGCTACCTGTATAGTTAGGAAGAACCTTGAACCTCTGCTATGTATCTCAATGGATCTAGGAATTGGACATGTTTTCAACTGAAAATACAATTATTAGTAATGTTTCCCCAGCAAATGAGGATCAGCTCCTCGGTGGAGAACAGCAATCTCGCCATGTCCAGATGTGGTCTGGAATTCCACAAAAGAACTATTCACAAAACTAAAAATTAGACCACTAAACCCTCCTAACTACACTCCCATCCACTAACACTCCCCACTACCACTTCCGGGTGTGTGCAAAAGTCCTTCCCCAAATGTCATGACGTATATCTGGTATGACAGCTGCTCTAGCACCTCCTCCAACAGCCATGTTGGCGTTGATTTGTGCACCATAGCAATTTTACATGCAGCTCCATTGTGTATATGACATTTGCAAATATATGTTTGCAGTTCTATTGTGGATTTGGCATTGGTGACTGTATGCTTGCAGCTATACTGTGTATATGACGTTGGCGAATATATTGCTGGTAAAGGCCCAAAGTCAACATAAATTGGGGGCCCAATTTATTACTGTTAAGAGGATTGTAGAAAAATAGCTAGATGGACATTGAACACGACCTATTCATTGGTACATAACATGGTCTTGTGGTGCAATAGGGGGCTTTTGGTTTGTTTGGACATACTTGCATATGTGCGTTCTAACAAGGAAGATTTGGGCATATTATATAGCTAGCAAAAATAAGTGTTAAGGGGTGCTAGTACATTTATTTATGGTACTTATATAGCGCTGTCAATTTACACAGTGCTTTATATATATGTTGTAAATTCACATCAGTCCCCAACCCTCAAGGGGCGCACAATCTGAATGTCCCTAACTTACATTCATACATATACTAGGGCCAATTTTGACAGGATCCAATTAACCTACCAGCATGTCTTTAGAGTGTGGGAGCAAACCAGAGAACCAGGAGGAAAACCACACAGGCACAGGGAGAACATGCAAACTCCAGGCAGGAGGTGCCGTGGCTGGGATTTGAACCAACAACCTTAGTACTGCCAGGCTGAAGTACTAACCATTTAGCCACTGTGTTACATTCAACTAGAACATGAAATAATCCCCCCCCCAAAAATAAATAGTCCAATTGTTTATTGATCAAATACACGTTCCACATTTATTTGGACAGCAACAAGTAGGTACATTCAATTTCTTGGTTAAAAAAAAAAAAAAAAACGGGATTGATGTTTCTAAAATAGAATGGTCCTGCTCATAACAGTTTACAATCTAAAAGATTATACTTCTAATGAACTGTGCTTTCACAGGTTACAGCAGGAAACAGTTAACATAAATCACATATTAGGCTTATCCATCCACAAAACAAGCTGCAGATCAAAATATCAAGTATAAAAATACATATGTGCCAAAATAAAAACACCTCACACCTCCCCAAATCCCCCACACATACATTTCTCACCATGTTTGTCTGAAAACTGCATTTCAGTCTAAATAAGGCAAACTTGGAAGAGCAGAGCAATTTGCATATGTTAGGATTACAATGCAAAGATAATAAACACACAATCATTGTACAATAACACACAAACACACCTTAGAAGGAAGAACATGCAAACATTTACAGCCCACATCAAAAACACAGCGTGAGTGTGGCCTGGGGGCAATTCACCACAATATCTCTTCCTCCCCAAACCACCACAGACAAGGACATGCACAAATAATGTGGCCTGTAAAAAATC